GAAGCAATGTATGTGCAAGCTGTGTGGCTTAAGCTGCGTGGTGAAAGCTGTGTTAGGGGAACAACAAATGACATAAACAGAAAAACTCAAAGGTCCGCGCGGATTTCTCGGATCGGCGCTGGGGCCCCCCGGCGGCGCCTCCGGCGCCGCCCCTGGCGCGCTCCGCGCGCCAGGCAGGGGGGTCCAGCGCCGATCCGAGAGAAATCCGCGCGGACCTCCGAGTTTTTCTGTTCATGCCACTCTCTGTTCCTCCATGTGTGGCCGCCCCCCCGGGCCGCCCCCGTGACGTGGCCCGCGCGCGTGGAGCCGCGGGCGGGCACCCGGCGCAACCCCTCGACGCGCCCAGCAGCGCAGCACGCGCGAGGCGCCCACGGGGCCCCGCGGGCGGACACCTCGGCCGAGCCCTCGACAGAGCCTCCCTCGCCGAGCGCGTGCCACTACTCTTAAGTCGGGCCTGTCCCCCTGCAGGGGGATTCTCGACGAAACATAAAAGATAGTTAAAATAGTTCAAAAATAATCCAAAAATAATATGGGGACTATTTTTTGGGTATTGCTCGACCTTTTTGAGGCATTTTTAGGGTATTTTTTATTTTTCGTCGAAAATCCCCCTGTAGGGGGGCAGGCCCGACATAACACTACTCGCAAAGTGCCTCCTCGCAAACGTCCGCAAACCACATGCCTGCTCCGATGTAATTTACCGTAGATCCCCCGCGGCGGCTCCAGGTCATGTGAGAGTAGTCACTTTGCGAGTATAGTGGAGCGCGCTCGTCCACTCCCGGGGCTCGTCTCGGTTCCTCCGATGCGATCTGGCTTCCTTGGGCTCCGATCCCGGTTCGGTTCGACTTTGGACTCCGGTCTGGATTCCGATCTCGCTCCGCGCGGCACCCCTGCTCCGCCGGCCTCCGGCGACTCGGCGCCTCCCGATTTCTGGCTGCCGATTCCCGCCGATCCGATTCACCAGCCTCGAACATATCCCTATCCCTAAGATTGACACACCAAAAGGCCGATCTTGGGCTCAGGATGGACCTGGGCCAAATCGGCGTATGTGCACGGCTCGTTTTCCTCCAGGCAGCCCGCACGGTAGGGATGGGCAGCCTTCGCAAGGGCGCCCCTTGCATCCTTGCTCGGTCTTAGGCTGCTCCCATCGTACCTAAGGGCCACATCCCAGAAATAACTCCGAGCACCCGGAAAAGTGTCGAAACTGTGTCGAAACAGTGTCGGACGGGTGTCTCCCAGGGCCCGACACGTGAAAGCCCTCCAATTTCGGTATTTTCCTGGTTGCTCGAAATTCTTTCTGGTGGTGAAGGCTAAAGTAGGTTGGAACATCATAAGTTCGGTCCATCCTTGGCCACTTTCGGTGGCGCCCCGCTCGAAAGGCTTCGAGGTGGGCGCCCAGGGCCCCGCTGCGTCCTTGCCGCGCATGCTCACGATACGGGCCGACTGTGCCGCTCTCCTTTGTCCCCGACCATCCACGTGCAGACGGGGGCCCGCCTCTTCCGCGCATGTTCACGTAGTTTGAACCTGTTGGGTATTTCTTACACCTATGTTTTTTTCAATCGGTGCGGTTTAGGTCCTTCCGTTCCCCTCCTCTGCTTTCTCTTGATTCTTTTGTTCCCCCTCCTACTCCTAATCTTCTTCCTTCTTCCTTCTCATCCTCCTCGTCGTCCCCTTCCCCAAATCGTCCGCCTGCCTCGTACGCCGACTGTCCAGCAAACGACTGGCCAAATCCTGCATGTGACATTTGGGGGTCAAGGGAAACAGGCTTCAACGCCAATCCATTCAACGCACAGAACAGGCTTCAACTCAATGGGAAGGGATTTCGAGGTGATGTCATATCGTGGCCCCGCCACGGCCTGTGCACGACCTGGTGGGTGACAGCTCGGCGACGCAGACTCTTGGGCTTCCACGCGCGCTGCTGCTTGTGGCATCCTTGTCGTGCCATCCGCACTTATGCCGTACCGCCAAGACGCTGAAATCAGGAACGCCTCGGGTGCGGAAGGGGTTCGCTGCTCTTTACGCTCTTCCATGGCTCCTCCTCCCGCACTCTTCGTGCACCTGGGCGCTTCTGGGGCCAAGAATGAGCCCCGTTCCTCATTTAGCGTTCCTTCTGATAGTACCTCGACTGCACGAAGCATATTCAGGAGGGGAAAAACACACAGACACAATTAATCGTCGATCCCCCAAAAAATATGGGGAAATATGGGAATTGGGCGGGAAGACAGACACCCAGAAACTATGGGGAAATATTAGGAATCCTGTTATTTGTGTGCATTTATTTGTGTGTGCCCAGGGCCTCTTCAACTGCGTCGGACGGTCGCCGGCGTCCACCATGCTGCTGCGCAGGTGCGCTCCGAGAGGCGCCGCGGCGACGCTCGCGAGGTCGGCCCGCTCCTCCCCGGGGCCGGGCGGCCGAGGAGAGCCTGCGCGACCCTTGCGGTGCTCTGCACGCACGAAGTGGGTACGGAAAGAATGGGTACGATGCCCAACAGCAGCTCCTCTTCATTGTGGACAGGACTCGCTGTCCGCGCCGCCGCGGCCTGCGTCCACTTGAGACAGAGGGCCGCCTGCCCAACAGCGGCCGCTGTTGGTTTGGGACAAGATTTGCTGTTGGGCACTGTGCCCGTTTTTGTCGGTACCCATTCCGGGCGTCCAACGCGGTGCGCGAGCCCGCGACAACCGCAGGCGATGTCTCTATCCCAACCCCCGACTCTTCGACGAAGAATGAAGCGGCCAGGAAAAGTAGGGGAAGCCCGGGACACACCCCCAGAAGGCTGCTCGGACGCACCCCTTAATCGAGGATGGGCGCCCCCCCCCGTATAATTACCCCAGCGTTGGGCCCCCCAAGCGCCGGGTCTATCCGAGAGCCCCACGATGCCTGGGATAGGGGTCGTCATACCTCCTGTCAGAAGAGACGCCCCGGCGGAGGGGTGCAGCAAGCCGTGGCAGACGCACCCGGGGCCCGAGCAGCGCTGGCAGCGCCGGGTGTCGAAGCGCCACGGGAAAGTCATAATAAACTCACGGAAACTCTTGGCGCCCGGCGCGGAGTTCTCGGATCCGCGCGGGGCCCCCCGCCGCCCCTGGCGCGCGGCGCGCGCCAGGGAGGGGGGTCCAGCGCAGATCCAATGAATCCGCGCGTGGCGCCAAAAGTTGCTGTTTATGGCGTTTTCTTCTCCTTCTTCTTCTATGATGGGCATTCACTCGAGCCCGCAGCACCGCGAGAGGCCGTGATGGCCGAGTTTCCCCTTCCTCCATCCTTTTCTCCCTCTTCCTCTCTCCCCCTTTCCCCTCTCCCTCTCTTCCCATGCCTTGCGTGGACGTTCCAGGTGGCCAGGGTACATTATTTACCTTCCCTTTTGCGATGTGTCGCCCGACTCGCTCGCGCCATCCGCTTCTTTTGGCTGGCGTTCGCTGGGGGACGAGCGGTCGCTTGCGCACGCGTCTGCCAACGGAGCGCCGTCCGTGCGCCCATCCTCATTGGCGGTGTTCACGGCTGCAGACGTGGCGCAAATGCTCCCAAATTGCTTTTAGGCCCTCCTCCCATCCCTACTCCCCCTTCCCTTCCCCCATCACCCATCCCCTCTTCCACCCCCTCCAGTGTCGGTTCGAGGGTTTTGCTCATAACGCAGCCAGGACACGAATCTTTCCGCGCCCTCCAGCCCAGTGATACCGTAACAATACCGACCGTGCTGGACCGATTCGTGTCACATCCTTCTCAGTATTCTCGCTAGCACGATGTTTCCGGAAGCTCCTCGCCACGAGCGTACCACTGTGGAGCCGCCGAGGCCACCAGGGAAGGGCCGCCTGGCGGTATTTCTGCCGGACAGCAGCCTGTCCCGAAAGGAAGCTTGCGCTGCCGCACTCCAGATCAGTGGCGGCGTCAACCGAGCAGTCGCTGCACACAACGCACTGGTTCACAAATACCAGTCTGATCCCGATATTGTTTACCAGCAGCGCCGCTCCGACCCGCGCATGCCCAGGGGCGAGCTGATCTAACCGCGCTGGGGAAACAAGATCAGCTAAACTACGGTGCGGTATCCCCTTATGCACAAGATGGGTTCCAGCTGTGGCCCACCAGGGTCCACAGTTTCGGCCGACGTCCACCAGGCCAATTGCACCGCCCTGCTCATCAGCTCAGATGCGCGAGGTTGGGGCGTCCCATCGCCCTAGCATCCCGTCGGGCGGAGGACGGTAAATCGCATGTGAGCAGCATCTCAGTACACACGATTTCAAGAGGGCAACCAACTCCTGCATCAAATACGCCGCGAGGATCAGCCCTGCGCGCTCGCCGTCCTGGGACCGATCAGCACCGACGACCCAGGCAACAAAGTCCATTGCCCGGTCCAGCGAAGGACGCCAAATGCAACCACAGCCAAGCCAGGACGAATTCAATGGATTTTTTTCCAACGCAGCCGCACAGAAGCCAACTGCTCGTGAAACGTTGCCCTTGTTACTCTTGACCCAGCAGACAACGCAACATGGATCCGAGAAGCCATCTGGAAGACTGACGCGTTCGCAGTCACGCCAGCACTGGAGGAGTGATTCGCTTCCCAGCTCTCTAGAGCTGATCCCATCAGTGGCACGCGTGTGCCGGGCGGAACGGGCACGGCACAACAAAGGGCAATTGAATTTCGCAATGTTGCCATTAGCGATAAGGCACGCCAGCAGCTTGAGGCCGATCTCACATACGCCTTCACTTACCAGCCTGGAACATATCCATATCCCTATGCTGGGCACCTCCTCATCACGATGCCAATCTCAGGGATTTCCTTATTTTTGGAGGGCGAATCCCTAAGATGGTCATCGCCCTTTGGCTTGTCAATCTTAGGGATAGGGAGACGTTCGAGGCTGGTAATTCGCGGCCATCCTCGCTCCACTTCCGCACCCGTGCACATCCAGGAGCCCACGCAGCTGCTGGGCCGACGTGGCACGGCCGCGGGCAACCGTGGGCCCGCCGCCACACCCGGCATCAACCCAACCGACGCCCCGATCGTCTTGGCCGCCTCTGGACAAGACGGCATGCAGGTTGGCATCAGCCACCGTGGACGACCACAGGTTACCAGTTTGAGACATATCCCTATCCCTATGTTTGGCATCACCTCACCTGTCCTCGCTTTTTGCTCGCCCATCTTAGGGATAGGGATACGTTCGAGGCCGGTTAACAGGGCGGGCGCCCGCGCCGACCGAAGATGCGGGCGCCCGCGCGGCGCCCGGCGCGACGGACGCCGAGCACGTCGCCCTTCGAGCTCAGAGGAACGGGCACGGCAAGTGCCGACGCGAAGTGCCGCGTCACGGGCATCGGACCCTAGAGTTAAGTCGGGCCTGCCCCTACAGGGGGATTTGCGATGCAAGAATTTTGAAAAATGCCCCAATAATGGTCAAAAGATAATCCCAAAATGCTCTGGGGACTATTTTTTGAATATGTGTTGGCCTTTTTGGGGGTAACTTTTGGGGGTATTTCTTATTTGTCGTCGAAAATCCCCCTGTAGGGGGACAGGCCTGACGTAACCCTAGAGCGCCCCTACAGCACTAGTCGCCAAGTTCCCCCGCGTCCGCGCAGTGGTGGCGCTGCGGAGCCCAAGGCACGGGCGAGGGCGAGGCCACCGGGGGCGACGTCGCCTCTGTCGAAGGCGGCCGCCCCCCCTCCCCACTCCACGGCCCCCGCCCGCGGGTCTCCCGTGGACCGCAGCGACAGTCGAGACCGCTTTCAAGACCGATCCACCGAAGGGGCCTCACCACCCACCAGACCACCCCAACCCAAGCCCGCAGGCCCAAACGTACCCTCGCTTTCCAGTGGGGGGCGGGATCGGGGAACATTGAAAACACACCTGGAACCCGTACCCCCCACCAACCCGAAATTCGGGTCAAATTCGGGTCAAATTCGGGTCACATTCGGGTCTTCGGGTCGGGTTGGGTTGGTCTGGTCGGTAGTCGGGGCCGGCGGAGACGAGCGTCTCATCGGGGGCCATCGCTTCGGAGGTGCCCGTGCTTGAGCCGCCGCCGGGAAGCCCAGGCGCCAGCGCCGCCCCAGCTCTCTCGCGGACCTGGCGGCCACCGGGCCGCGCCGGCATGCGTTCCTGGCGCCGCCGGCAAGCCGGCCGAACGTCAGGAGGGAACAAGCACGTAGAGACACAATCCATCGTCGATTCCCCAGAAAAGTATGCGAAAATATAGAAAAGGGGGGGGGGAAGACAAACATTATATATATATATATAGAGAGAGAGAGAGAGAGAGAGAGAGAGAGAGAAAGAGAGAGAGAGAGAGAGAGAAAAAAAAAACAAGTATATGGGGCATCCTGGGATTCGTGTGTGCTTGATTTGTGCGTCCCTGGGCCCCTTCAGAGAGGCACGGCCGGCCAGAGCATGGGGTCCTCCCTCGTCCACCTCCCGCCCCCCGGGGTCGGGGCTCGGGCAGGGTGCTGGTCGACGCCCGCTGCTGGGTCGGCCAGGTGCTGTCCACATGCAAGGCGGCTGACGGGGGGGGCTGGGGAGGGGGGGGGTGCATTCCGAACCCCAGACCTCCAACGTCTTGAAGACATCGAAGCGCCGTCTTTCGCCGCTTCCGGCTTCCCAGGGGCCATTCTTTGGCTCCTGCACCGTCAAGGAACAATTCAGGATAAACGTGCAGGCCCTGGAGAAAGCGTCGAGACTTCGGAAACCCTGCAGTGAAACAAAAACACGATGTTGGATGTTTGGGCATAGATAAGGCCGAAGAGGGAGACACATGTGCGCGGGGGGATAGCACGGAGGAGGGAAGGGTGGGGGAGTAGTTGTTGGGCAGGAAGGAGGGATGGGGCAGGAGGAGCAGGACGAGGGATGAGGGAGGGGGGAGGAGGGAGAAGTCAGGAGGAGTGGAGACGAGGCAGAGGACGAGAACAACGGAAGGTGACGCCACTCAAGCTCACCGAGCAGTGCGTTCCGTTACTCGCAAAGTGCCTATTCGGAAACGCCCCATAACAGCAATGTCTTCTTGCAAGTGTGAAAGGGATCGTAGATCCCACGCGGCGGGCCCAGGCCATCTGCGAGTAGTTAACTTGCGAATAGCGGAACGCACCTGTCTACACCTCAGGCGATGCTTAAGAAAACCTGAGTTTTCGGCCAGAGTCTCGATTATTCTTAACGTTTCAATGTAAGTCCCAAGAGTTTGATAGAAATGCTGGGTTTTCATTCAAGTTCTGAGGCTATGAATTCCTTAACCCATGATTTCTTGAGCATTTCGCAGGGTGGACAAGCGGAAACACACACCCTCAAATGTACAGAGCCACTTCCCCGCCTCCGCACCACACATGCGCGGCATTGTGGTGTGGCCAGCGTGGGCCCCGAAAGCGGTGCGTGCTTGCACCGTGGAGGGGAGCGCTATGTGCGGCCGTGCGGCGCCGAGTTGTATGCCGTGCCGGCCGCGCGGTGTGGGCGGTGGAGGTGACGGTGATGCGCTGTAGGCTGTGTGGGACAAAGCTACTCCAGATTCCGTAATAAAAGGGAGGGGGTCTCAACCCTCCCAGACGAGAAGTTTTAGGCCCCCCCCCCTGGGAGAACCCTCCACAACATCGTCCCCAGACCCCCCCGGGCCCTCCAAGATAGCCTGGAAGAGACCCCCCCCGAAATGAGACCCCCCGCCCTTTACTACGAAATCTGGAGTATGCGCTGTAAGCTGTGTGGAAAAAGCTATGCGGTGCAAGCTCTGCGGTGTGGGCCGTGGGGGTAGAATTTGTGCGTTGGAAGCCACGTCGTGAGAGTCGTGGAGGCGAACACCATTTTGTGTAAGCTACGTTGTGAACGCCAGGCTGTGCGAAGTGCAGGTGGAAGCTGCTGGGTGTAAGGTCCTCTATATGAGTTCCGGACCCAGAGCGAGACCATTTCTCCTATCCGCCTCTGCGGGGGCTAATTCTGTTTTTTTACTTCATGGGTGTTCTTGTCAACGCCACGGGAGAGTGGCGCCACCGATGGCAGTGGCAGCCTCCGCAAGTAGCGCGCGACCTGCCACCACGACTGGGCATCCCCTTATGTGAATGTGGTGAGCGATGCCAGAAATAGGGGAGGTCGATTCCATCGTCGAGGCCCTGGCAATCCGCGAGTGCGTCAGGCTGCCTCCGAGTCAGAGCTCGCAGACTCGCAGTGGGGGTAGCAATGATGGGAACCTTCGCTGTGCTGTGCACCTCCTTCGTCCCTCATCCGTTTCTGAATCTCTTGTTTGATTGGAGTTTCTGCTGGTCTTCCGCCTGATCCTGCTGCGTCGAAAGTGTCACTGACCATGTTGACCATCGGTAGTTTCAGTATCACTGATACCAGCATCCTGATCAGCATGTTCATGATGGCCACTGTGATCGTATGTTGTCATCTCTGTCCGAATCAATATTGCCACGGCTATTGCGATCTCATGATCGTTCTTATCATCACAATATCACGATTGCTATCGAACCGACCGTGTCTGCCATTGTGTGGCAAGTATCGTTGACACGCCATTTCCCAGCATCACCGTCATTCCCATATCAGTCATGATTTCTATTCAGTGCCATGCGGCCCAATCCATACCATCCCGCCAACGTGCCCGGGTTGTGGGCGCGAGAAGCAGTGGAAGCATGGTCCCGAGCCCTGCGGTTTCTCGGGGTGCGGGGTTCGTGAGGCGATAAGCCGCGGGGCAGCCCGCCGGGCAATCCGCAGGACAACCCGGAGGACAACCACGGGACAACCGCCAGGGAGCCCACGGGACGACCGCGGTTCACCCACAGGGAAATCACGGGAGCACCGTCGGACGACCATGGCGAAGCTCTGCGCAACCGGAGGATCAAGAATTTTTGGTCTCCTCTTGGCCATATCCGCGGTGGCGCAGCGTCGCCGTCGCCTCGGCGCCGCAGGCGCGGCACGAGTCGAAGCCGAAAGCACTTTCCCGGTTGGGGTCGCTTCGTTCTCACCTCGGGGGCGGCAAAGAGGGGGGTGATGACTAGGGGGGGGGGCGGATCTCATGGCGGGGGCCATGATACCTCTCCAGATCTCAGGGCGCCTCTTCTTGTTTCATTACGTCCCTGGCCCCCCCGCTGGGCCGCGCACATGCCGCCGATCATGATTTGCACCCCACCTTCTTGGACCCCCCCCTCTTGGCCGCTCCCGATCCCCCCCCAGCGTCCAATCAGTGCGGTCATCATCGAATTCGTCATCACCCTCACCACGATGACCCTCGTGTCGTCAAGGTTGTCAGCATCATCGTTTTCAACATGTCTGTTTCGATGCTGGGTAATCACCTATGGGAGCGAAGGTTTGCGCAGGAAGCTGTATCTTTCTGAAGCACAGAATGTCTAACGCTGATTGGATTGCGGATGAGCTGACGGAAGTTGCCTCACCGAAGGGTTGGCGCAATCGACCGAAGGTGCAGGCACAACTCTTTAGAGCTTTGGTCCAGGGCTTCAAGGGATACCTTATCTTTTTAGGATACAGTACTACTCTGGACCAAAGAGTATCCATTGTTTTCCGAAGAGGGCCTTCAGATGTTGTATGATAAGGTTGGCAACAACAGCGATGGACACATCACAGGAATTCGAGAAGTCATTATTTGTCATTCAGGCGGCAACTACGCTGGCGCTGGATACGAAGAAGTCAGGTCGTGCGAAAGCGGCATGTTTCACTCGCAATCGCCCAATAGGAGCAGCGACAGCAGGTCCAGGACATCTCGATCCGCGTGATGAGCAAGGAAAGAAGCTTGAGAAGTTTGATACGTACGGACTTTTTGACAGCGAGGTGTAAGACATACACGTTTCCTGTGCAGAATATGACGCCAGAAAAGACGCAAGAGGAGGTTTATGAAGCAACAGTGCCAGGTGTGGTCGACGCATGGATACAGCACATGCCGAAGTGTATGTCCTTCGCGTATAGTCAAACTGGTACCAAAAACGAACATGCTATCCGGTATAAGCGAATCAGTGAAGATCGATTTCGCCCATCCTGATTGGGGCATTTTCCCATTTGTGGTACACGCTTGCTAGGAGCGGTGTAAGCAGTTTCTTCGCTTATCCCTCCTGTGGTTTCGTACCGACCGTTTCGGCGCTGGAGTTCTATTTGTGTCAAGCGCCTGACTTGACGCGTAGTCCCAAAGTGCTTGTTTGCATTGACGTTGCTACTGGGAAGCCGTCAGGCGCAAAACAAATCATACGCGCCGTTTTGCCGGGGACACGGCGGGACAGACCCTCATTCTGTTCACATCCCATCATTCCGGCGGGCGGAGGAAGTTTGGACGCGGCGAGGTTGGAGGCTCTGGCTCCTGGTACCCTCTCCCCCAATCCAAAAATGGATAGTGGCCTGGAAATGGTTTTGGGGAGCAGCCCATGCCCTTGGCCCCCCAGGGGGTCGGAGGATTCTGGGGGAAAAAACATCAGGTGTGGCTCCGTTTTTCGAGCAAGTCGATGCAAATCGAACAGTGGCGGCCACGAAGATGAATGAGAGCAGTTCTTGAGTGCACACTGCTTTGATCTTGACTCTTCACCACTGGGGACGACGGCGAAAAGATCACCGGTATGCAAGGAAAAGAGTTGTATTGTATTGCGCCACAACGACCACGATCATGGATCTAGCTGGGATGAAGCGGCCAGGAAAGACTGGTAGCTTGATTCTCGCCATGAGTGCAGGGTGCGGCTGTCCAGTGGGCGCGCAAGGGCAGATCATCAATTCCGCGCTCACCACTTTATGTACGGGAGTGATCACTGCAACAGGACAGAACGATCAACAAAAGACGTACATGCGTACACCGTGCATATGTATATGCTAGTTGCCGAGGAATACTTTGATGTTCCCGTTGGAATTTCGAACTGTTTTATTCAGGGGCATAAGTATCAGGGGCATAGGGTTGCACCCTTACAGTCGGAGTTGAGGGGGTCAGATCGATCTGGAACGGAGAGCCGCCCTACCGGGAAATCGATTTCGGTTTCGTGTTCGAGCGTGCCGTGCTTGCGGGCGAGGCGAAGCTTCGTGGGCGGGCGAGAAGAAAGTCTCCTGTAGCTGAGGCGCGGCCGGACCAAATGATTCCGGACCGGCGTCCGGTGGCCCGCGGTGACCCGCTGGTGTCCCTCCGGCTGAGGCGCGGCCAGACCAAATGATTCCGGACCGGCGTCTGGTGGCCCGCGGCACGGTGTCCCGCCGGTGTCCCGCCTCGGGCTGAGGCGCGGCCGGACCAAATGATTCCTGACCGGCGTCTTGTGGACCGCGGTGACCCGCCGGTGTCCCGCCTGTGTCCCGTCGGTACCCCGATGATGATGATGATGATGATGATGATGATGATGATGATGATGATGATGATGATGACGATGATGATGATGATGATGATGATGATGATGCCGATGATGATGATTATGATGGTGATGATGGTGATGGTGGTGATGATGATGGTGTCCCGATGATGATGATGATGATGATGATGATGTTGATGATGATGTTGCTGATGATGATGATGGTGTCCGGATGATGATGATGATGATGATGATGATGATGATGATGCTGATGATGATGATGATGATGTTGATGACGTTGTTCATGATGCTGATGCGATGATCATGATGGTGGTGTTTCGATGCTGGTGATGATGTGTCCCGATGATGATGATGTTGATGATGATGATGGTGACGATGATGGCGTCCCAGTGATGATGATGGTGATGATGATGTTCATGATGCTGGTGATGAGGGCATGATGATGATGGTGTCCCGATGATGATGCTGATGATGATGATGCTGTTGATGACGTTGTTGACGATCATGTTTGATGATGATGATGACGTTGATTGTGAGATCGATGGTGATATCGATAGTGAGATCGATAGTGAGATCGAATGTGAGATCGATTGTGAGATCGTGAGATCGATCGTGAGATCGATTGTGAGATCGATAGTCAGATCGATTGTGAGATCGATCGAATGAAATAGATCGAGTGAGATCGATTGTGAGATCGATCGAGTGAGATCGATCGAGCGAGACCGATAGTGAGATCGATAGTGCTATCGATAGTGAGACCGATCGGGTGAGACGTTGGTTCCCCCCCCCGAACGTCCTTATCACCCGAAGGGTGGTCGTATAGGTATTTGTATATTAAATATGTCATGCAGTACAAGCCTGTGTTACTCGATATGGTGTTACATTAGACTTGCCAGCTTATGCGTCAAGGTCGGGGTAGTGGCTGTAGCAGGTATTGGGTCGGTATGATCCTGGTCTGCAATGATTTGTATTGTGTGGGAACCTAGGGATTACGACCAGAGACCACGGGCCACAGATCCGGACCGCGCAATCCATACACCGGCCCAACAACCACACCTAGGACCCTCATAGACAAGTTGTTCAAGAAAGACACGCACACGAATGCGGCCAGATTCTTTCTGTCCGCTTCCCAGGGCCCTGGAGTGGCGTCCCCCAGGAGCCGCCCATGGGCCCCTGGAGCTTCCAGAGGGCCCTCCCCCGAGCCTCCTCAGGGAGGACCAGCAGAGGCCCCCAAGCGGGGAACGGGGGCGGGGGGGGGGCGGGCGGCGCGGTGGAGCTGCCCACTGGCGCCCCCTCTCACACGTGGCGACCGCGTGGGCCTCAACGCCTGCCTCTGCAGCTGTCTTGGCGGCGGATTTTTCAGAGGTCTGCCCCCCTCCCCCCACCACGTCGCCGAGCTGGACCCAGCTCAAACAGGAGGAGGAGGAGGAGGAGGAGGAGGAGGAGGAGGAGGAGGAGGAGGAGGAGGAGGAGGAGGAGGATGAGAACGGAGGTCAGGGCTACATGTCTGGGAGGTGTCAAGGGGCCGACGCTGTGCGGGCTGGGTTTGGGCTGCGCGAGGTGTGCGTGAACGAGGGCGTGGACCTCCCTCCTCTCTTTCTCTCCTTCATTCCGCCTGCACGGCACGCGTCTCGGGTAGGCGCGCTCTGGCTCCCGAGCCTGGCGCTCCCCAGGCTCGTTTTCCCAATCAGCCCCCTGTCAGTCCCCCTGCCGGACCAGGGTTTTCAGCAGCCGGTCAGGACGCATCGGCCCGCGGTTCTCAAAGAGCAAGCAAGCGGTAAGCAAACCCGCCCTGCCCGCTCAGGGCCGCGCGCTCGCAGGGCTGGAGCAGCCTGAGACGGACGCTGGCGCGGTGCCGGCGGGAGGGTCGCGCAGCGGCAAGGGTGCCTCTCGCTCTGTTGGTCATCGTCGTTGCGTTTCTTTCTTCCTTCTGTTTCATCTCTTTCGCCCCTCCCCCTCTGCGGGTTTCCACTCTGTTCTAATCACAGAGGGTCTTTAGTCATTGTCCTCCCCTGTTTCACTCTGCGGGGAATCAACTCGTCCCTCCTCTTCCTTCTGCTCCTCCTCCTTCTCCTCCGATTCCTCCTCCTGAGGGTCCTGATGTAAAAGCTTGCGAAGGCGCTCGCGGCGAGAGGATCATACGTTCCCTCGAATGTGCGTCGGGCGAGATATTGTTGGTGGGTTACTGTTTCCTGGGGACTGAATTCCATTTGCGCTAACCTGCATACAGGAACCTTTGTGATCACATTCGTAGGATAGTTGTACTACAACATATGAACGGTATTCGCTGTCACTAGTGTTTCTTAGCTTACGTTACTTTGGTGAACACCATAAAGCATTGAGCGGCGCTTGCGGCGACAGGGTCAGGGTTTCCTTGCAATGCTCGTCGGGCGCAATGTTGTTGGTCAGGTATGTATCCAGGAAACAATGCAACATGGGCTATCCCACACGCGAGAGTATTGTTGGGCATACCAGTAAGAGGATTGCAACATTAATCTTCATCGCCTTCTGCAAGTATCTTCACCGCCTTCTTCAAGCATATGCAGATGTACATGTGTTTTGCTTGCACCAGTAGTCGTAGTCGTAATACTAGGAGTCGTGGTTACTGGTTACTAACTACTCAGAGTCGTAGCCGTAGTCGTGTCGTGGTCGTCGTCGTCGTCGTCGTCGTAGACATTGTTGTGCGGCGGGTGCTCCCGCGGAGGAATATTCTGTTCCACTATTGGTGTGGTCCCAGTCCGCCAATAAGGTCCCAGTCCGTCAGTAAGGCAACTATCAGGGAGGTGTTCTAAATGCCCTCTGAGGTGAGCCGTAGCCGCTGATCTGCAGCGTGTTTTGCCGTCTGTTCGTCCCTTCTTGTTGGGAGGCCAGGCAGGTGAGGAAGGGAAGCCCAGCAGGGAGCTGGGGAGCAAGAGGAGGGACGTGGTGGAACATTCGCTGCGAACGGGAGATTTTTCGAGGCATGGGTCGCCGAATTCCGTGATCGATCGAGTCGACGTCATATTCATGTTCGGCGAGTTTTGCTTGAACTTGTGGCGGGCTTGGCTGGGGTAGCGGGTATCGGCGGCAAGCGAGGGGGAGAGATGAAAAGGAGAAGGCCTTCTCAGGAGTTGGCGGGACTTCTCAGAAAAGCCCTCGCGCCTTCGGAGACGTTTTGTCTATCTTCGGGGAAGGCCCAGAACACTTTTCAGAAGGCGGGGGACTTCCGAGCTTTCTGAGAAGGCCCGCCCCTTCTCAGTCCCCCCCCGCGCTCGCCGCCAAGAGCTCCAGGGGGCACGTCGGGAACTCAGGACGGTTTGGCAGTTGGGGCTCTGGGCCCCTCGACGAAAGGCTCAGGGGATGGAGCACGGGACTTCACAACCTTCTGCAGAAGGCTTTTTCCTTCTCGCTTCCCCTCCTCCTCCCTCCTCCTCCTCCTCCTCCTCCTCCTCCTCCTCCTCCTCCTCCTCCTCCCTCCTCCTCCCCTCCTCCTCCTCCTCCTCCTCCTCCTCCTCCTCCTCCCTCCTCCCTCCTCCTCCTCCTCGCCTCCTCCTCCTCCTCCTCCTCCTCCTCCTCCTCCCCCCCCCTCCTCCTCCTCCTCCTCCTCCTCCTCCTCCTCCTCCTCGCCGCCGCGGGCAGCGCGTGCCCGGGGGCAGAGCCCGCGAGCGGCGTGCCAGGCTCCCTCGGCCCCGCCCCGCGGCCGGGCCCCGTCGCCCGTGGGGCCCCGGCGCCTGAGGGGCTCCGGCGCGAGGGAAATGCGGGACCCCAGACCTCGGGCGTCTCGAGAAAAT